CTGAAAAAGACCAGATGTTTTTCCTGTTTGTGCTGCCGAAGAAAATGCACCAACTGGTTAAATTTTTCATCTGCTCTGCAGACCTGAAAAATGCAAAAGAAAAACGTAAGAAAATGGACTTTGGCTTTCCTGTTAACGTGATGCTAAGTGGTCAAAATTTAAATCTGATTGATGGAACCAGGAAGAAGGGAGAGGGGCCAGGGAGCTCGGTCAGAGCCCAGGCTCACACCATGTAGTAGTTCTCCAGGCGAGTTGGGGTTTTCTGGGTGTTGCTGGCTGCCACTCCCTTCTCCTTGACCGAGATGCGGACGGGGTTCCGCAGCCCTGCCCTCACCAGGTTCTCCACCTCCTGGGTCTGGGTAGCTGAGAACAGACCTGTCCTCCTCTGCTTGGGCAAAAAGTCCAGAATGGCATTCAAGCTGTGAGTAAGCACATGGAAAATGTAACTGTCACGAGGCTTCCCTCAGGAAGAAGTTTCATCACTGGAAAGGAGTTTAGGCTTTGTTATCACATGTCAAACTTCTATTGAAATAATTATCTTAACTCTGAGAGAAAGAGAAAACAGAGATCGAACTTTATTGGTTAAAGTGTTTTATTGGTTAAAGTGTTTATTGGTTAAAGTGTTAAGTGTTTTAAGTGTTTTATACATTAAAGTATATGTACTTTAATATAAGTACATATAAATGTATTCATATTTCTAGAGTACAAATAATGATATTTAACCAAGCATTACTAGAGATAGGCTAACATAGATCTCAATAAAGGAAATTCCATATTCACTGAGGTTCCACATTTCCTGATTCTCTTCCCCCCTAGCAACTGCTTTGTGTACTTACAGAGCAAAGATGAAAGAACAAATTCAGAAATTTCAAAAAAAACAGAGCAAATTAACTTTGGAGGCCATTGCAGGCCACGCTCATTCACATCCATCACACACCAACTCATTTAAAACTGCAGAAGAACCACCAGAATTTATTATTTCAATACCTTGCTTCAAAGCCCATATCTAGAAGTCTGTCTGCTTCATCCAACACCAGCACATCCAGAGCCTTCACAGAGCTGGCAAGGTCCAGCCCGTCAGCTTTCCTCCTGAACAGATCCTCCAGGCGGCCCGGGGTGGCCACGATGATGTTGCCACTGTTGGTGCACACACACAGCAATTCCCTCACTGCAGGGTGAGGAATCTGGGAGAACTCCTGATATCCCAGCACAGCCCTGCCCTGCATTCCTCACTAAAACAATTTAATTCTGTCGCTTTTAACTGCAGCCATATTTCACATGCCATGGCATGAGGGGAAAGCACATCCCCCGTGGCAATAAAATTTTGGAATATAAACAGCAAGTATGGAAAGCAGCTATCAGCTGCAGGAAATATTTGGTACCTCCATAAAAAGCAAGGGGCAAACAGGACTCCTTCAAAACTCCATCATCAGTGTCAGCACCAAACAATTCCAGGAAATTAATGAGCAGGGAGAAGTGACATATTCACTGAAGACACTTTTCAGCTCTGTTCTTCACCCAAACAACAGATAAATGGTGCTGGTGTCACATAAGAGGCTCTCCTCACACTGTACCTCACTCCAGGAACAGACCCCACAATTTCCCAGCTCACCCCAAGAGATTCTGGCAGCACCATCCCATTCCAGCACCAGCAGGACCACAGCTCTGGGCTGAAAACCCTGACAAGGAGAAAACCCCAGCTCTGAGACACAAACAAACAGCTCACCCATGCTCCTTGAACTTCTCAACATCTTCCATGGGGTTCCTTCCACCAATGAAAAGAATCTGACTAAAACAATAAAACAGAAAGATTTGGGTCATCTTTAAGCTTTGTTGGGTCATGACTGACAGAAGGAATTGTGGGCATGGAAATGCTGAAGGCCACCCACCTGAACATGGGGAAGTGTTTTGTGAAATGTGACAGCACCTCATCAATCTGAATGGCCAATTCCCTCGTTGGTGTGATAATTATAGCTCCAACCTGCACGTGGAAATCAGGAATTTGTGGGGAGCAAAAAAAAAAGAAAGATTTGGGCAGAATCCTCCCTTTCAAGCTAAATTAATATGAGCCATAATTTTGAGCCTTTGGTTTCAGACAAAACATTTCCACAGAAATACAGTAAAGAATTAAAAAACATCCCAAAATGTCTACGAAAGACTTTGTATCAATGTGTAAAGTATCTCTGCTGAAAGAGCAGCATCTAATAATGACATTTAACAGCAAATGACACTGAAGTTCCCTGCACACTAAAATGCCTTCAAGGTCAACGGATGCTAAAAAGCATTCAACACTTGCAGTGTACCAGTGTATTCCATATTTTGGGACATTTTTCCAGCAGCTCAGAACCCTGTTCTGTTCATGACAGAGAAGCTGTATCTAAGTGCAATGAGAGCACCCCAAATTTAATTCCAAGTTTTAAGAAGTTCATTGTTGCTGTTACACTGAAGAGCTGAGCACAAAGTCACTCTGTGTGGGCAATTTTCCTTATGGATGTTTTCCTAAAGTTCTGAAATCTTATTGGCACATCATAAAAGTATCCTCAGTAGTTTGTCTTTTAATCTCACCTGCATTTTCTTTAACTTTTCCTCCCGTCTGAGAAGAATTTCCAGTATGGGAATCACAAACGCCAAGGTTTTCCCACTGCCTGTGACCTGTGGAAAGAGCGTCAGCCCTCCCTCAGCTCGAGAGGAGCCTGGAAAACAACGAGCTGCACGAAGGAGAAGCACTCACCGCTTCTGCAGCCACATCTTTGTTACTCATAAAGAGCGGGATGGTCGCAGACTGAAAAAAGAGAAGAACCAAGTGAGCAGGTGAAGCGGTGGTAAATCCCACAGAGGTGAAAACTCCTCAGAGACATCAGAGCTCGAGCGGAGCCGGTGGGAAAGCCGCGGATGCGGCTTCTCGCTGCTCCAGCTCCGCTGACGGCTGCAGCCGCCACCGGCCCAGGCGCTCCTGCCACATCCCGCGCTCTCCTCCCTCAGCCCGGCCTCGCTTCCCCGGGCGTGCCGCGGGGCCCCGCACCTGCACCGGCGTCATTTGGTGGAAGCGGAGCTGCCGCAGCGCCCGCAGCACGCCCGGGCTGAGCGGCACCGGCAGCGCGCCCCACTCGCCCTCAGCCGCCGCCGCCATCTTGGCCCGCCCCGGGCCGCTCGGCGGAAACAGCCGCGGCACCGCCCGTTCCGCCGCAATTCAGTTCCGCCGCCCTCATGCTCAAAAACTTCGGATTTAACCAAAAATTCCCATTTCTATGGCGAGCTGCCTGTCGCAGTGAGTATTTCTGCACGTCTTACAGCAGCGCTGTGCCACACCACTACCCCTAAGATGTAGGGCAGAGCTGCCTGATATTTATTCTACCTGCCCCCAAAGCAGGATGGAGTGTGGATAAATTCCCGATATTCTAAGAAAGCAGGGAATGACAGAGTTGTTAATATTGTGAGAAAACTCTGCAGTCACCCAGTCCGAGCCCCCTGCCCAGGCAGGGTCAGCTGGAGCAGGTGACACAGGATCACAGCCAGGTGGGTTTGGGATGTCTGCACAGAGGGCGAATCCTGCCTGGAAAGTTCTTCCTCACTTTGATATGGAACTTCTTGTGGCTCAGTTTATGGCCATTACTAAACAAATAATTTATAAAAACACCTTTGTTTTAATCTGTACTTCTTAAGGTACCAACCCTAAAAAAAAGAAAAAAAAAACCCAAAGCTGCTTTTTATTTTTTTAAAGAATTTGTTTATTTATCGAACCTGGGTCATATTTAGATTCACGAGCAATTTTCAAATGTACATCTTAGAATTCAATTTTCAGTGTTTTACACAAAAATATTGGCACACAACAGTTGCAATAAGGTGTAACAGCCACCTCTCTGAAGAACTGCTGCAAGTGTTTGCCCAAGGTTGAAAAAACTTTACCTGGAACATGAAAACCTGTAACAAATTTTAAATTAATTGTACAAAACTGTTGTGTGTTACTTGTAGAGGATCCCCCCTGGAAAAGACCCCACCCCACCCCCAAAAATGATTACAACTAATATACATCAGTCACAACATAATCCTGGCTCAGCACCCACATCAGACGCTTCTTAAATTTTTAAACCAATCATCAGATAACTGAGGAAAGTAACTTTATACAAAAACAAATCTACATGTGCCTGAAAAAAGAAAACACACCAGTATTTAGCATTATGCTAATTCTGATCAGATCATGGCAGAGTTTGCCACTGCACTTAAATACAAGGGCTGCATAGCGTGGATTGAACCCCCAAATCCAGAACCCTTTGGCCTCAGGAATCCAGATTTCCTGAACATTTCTGCCCTGGGCACTGGGCAAACAGTCTGAGCTTTGGACCTGCAAAAGCCAAAGGGTTCACGAGTGTTTGCCAAGACACTGCACACAATTGGCTTCCAAATAAAACCTCTGAGAGACTAAAAACCGTATAAGGAACATTTGGTGATGAGAGGAGGAAAAAAAAAAAAAGGCGTTTTCGTATAAACTATTTAATTAAAAAGAACTTTGGGAATAAGTTGATATCATTAAGACAGTTGCTGATGACTATCTTTTAAATAGCAACTAGGTGTGAATTTTAACCTTTTCCTTGGCAGTTTCTGTGAGTGGAGAAGGGATTATTTCAATTTTATAACACCTACTGCAGGGTTAAGGATGCAAACAGTCACCTTAGGGCCTTGTACCGTTTCCCTGGACAGAACTGCGAGTGCTTGTGGAAACAGGGAAAAAAGTTAGAAAAGACAGAACAGCTTGTTACTAGAGTGAGTTACAGAGTTTGCAGCTTGCCTGGACCTTGCTTAGCACACAGACTGGGCAGATCTCAGTGGAACAAAATGATGCCAATAAAGTGACAAGATTTCAGCACAGCTTTTGCTACAGAAGATATATAAAAACAATTCTTTTTTTTTCTTTTCTTAACTAGGAAGGAATATAAGCAAATAAGTTTTACAGTTCAGTAAAGAGGGTTCAGAAACTAAATGACTTTTTTTTTTTTTTTTGTGACCAGGATGTTTGGTAGAGAGTGAACTGAAATCTGAGACCACAGAAGGATCTTACACCACCCTTCGGACTTCAAAAAACCTCTTCAGGTAGTAGATTTGTCCCAGTGTCATGGCAACTAGTACAAGGGCTTCAAAGAATGACCAAAGAACCACTCTGCTGTTTGTGTTGTCATTAACTGTTGGGAAAAAAAAAAGAAGAAAAAAGCAGTAAGTAACAAAAGATTTAAACAGAAAACATGCTGCTGTGAAACTGAGCATTGCACAGGAAGCACTGGGTTTGTGTCAGGTCATCACAGGTGTCCCTGCAGCCTCAGAGATGAGATCTGAGGGGGATTTTTCTGAACAATTTGTTTTTAAACCTACTTTGGACATACACTGCAACATCTTTCTCTATTCTGCCCACCCTTCTGGCCTCTGAGCTGCCAAACAAAGCCTCCTGCTCTCACCCCCTGCCATGGGCAGGGACACCTTCCTTGGGCACCTCCAGGGATGGGGCAGCCACAGCTCCTCTGAGCACGCTGTGCCAGGGCTGTACCACACTCCCAGGGAGGAATTTTTCCCCTGTATCTAATCTAAACCTCCTGCCTTTCAGTTTAAAACCATCCCACGGTTTACCATGTCCTTGTAGATGGATTAAACAATATCATCACTGGTATCTGCATGAATACAGCGTTCAAACAACTACGGAATTTACATCACTTAAGCAAATCTTATTTTGTATAACAACCACACTACACGGGGTGAAGACAATTTAAAGATGACTGCAAGCAAAACCTACATTCTTTACTCCATGGGCAGGGCCTGCAGGATTTAAATTATTATTTTTGAAGTCACTTGGAAAAGATTTTATGGACTCAGGTGTCGCTATTGGACATGAAATGAGTACACAGAAGCTTGGTAAGTTTAAAAGAGAAAAAGATCCAGTTTTATTCAAACATCTGGTATTGATAAAATTCCAAAGGTGATCGTGGACTGGAGGATGGAATTACCACCTCTCCAACCACACTGGTCCAAAGATCAATCAATCATTTCTCTCCACTCACAGAGAAATATGTAAACTATTATATTTCTACATGAAATTGTGTGGGAACTCTGACTCTCAAATATGTAAACATTATCAGAAGGCTGAAGAAGTTTTATGAGAACGTTAAAACTTTCACAAGAACTATAAAAGAAAACGTAACACTTTTAAAAATCAGGGCAACACTGATGTTTAAATGACCATTTGCAGGCTCCCTAGAGAGGGGAGCAGGCATTGGCTGAGTCAGGCACCTACTTGCTCTGTGTATCCTTTCACGGACTTCCATGTACTCCTGCTCGTGCTTCACAGCCGTCATGGCCACTGCTAACTCGTTAATCATCTCTTCTAGCTTGTTCTGATGAGCTGCAGAATAATTTCAGAAGCATCAGAAAGTCTGTTAATGACTGGAAAAAATTATTTCAACGAATTGATGAGCAGTTAAAGGTAATTTCCTGCTGCAGAAAGTCTGACAGTACAGCTGAACACTTTCTATCCTTACAGCCAAGTTCAGTCTCCGTAGCACCACTTTCCCTAATGTGTCTCTGTGGTGTTTAACAAGTGGGAAAATATTTCTCCACACCCAAAGAGGAGGAGACAATTCAGACTCAGTACAGACCCCACATTTCCAGTGTGCACATACTTTTCCAGGAGAACAGAATGGAAGAATGCATGAGACCAATACCACACACTAATATCTATTTTGCCAATATATCATCCAATATATTCCAAGCAAACTATCTTAACATGACAGCTTTTCCTAGTTGTTAAGCTTGCAAAAATAGAATGACTGAGAATTTAGCTCAAGATCATGATGCTGGCAAATTATGAGATCACTTTCTTTAGCAAAAAGTCACATCCTGTGATCTTCAAGCTCAGCTGAAATCCAGCATTCAGGGAGCACAATGCCCAGGGGGCCTGGCACAGCCTTCCCTTGTGGTGTTGTGAAAGCAGGAGAGGAGTTAAACACCAAACCAGGAGCACAAAACCAGCTTGAGACAGTTCAGCAAATGGAAGGCTCAGAGATCTCAGATTTAGTGGTTTGACTGTCAATCACAGGATCTTTTTCAATACAGCCACACTCAAAGACCTGTCCATCACAAATTTATAAATTAGGCAAGTCATTTGCAAAGTTTTCTAGCATCAGGTGGAGGTGTCATTCCACACACTTGCCCTGGGCAATCAGCTCTCTTTAAAAGTCACAACACCCAACATATTTTCCTTTCAAGGGACACAGTTGACTTGGAAGCTACCTTACTATAGTTTTATTTGTAAATTAAGTGTTTCAGATCACAGTCTGAAAATAGAGCTATTCAAAACACACGCCTTGTGGGGAACAGTCAAAAGAGAGGACCAGAGAGTAACACTCATACAAGTTACAACTAAAATCTAAATAGTTGTGCAAACCACACTCACTTTCCTAATTCAAATCCCTTATTTTCATGGCCAACTGCTCATTGCAGTAAATTCAGTTTATTAGTAAGAGAAGAAACTACAGTTGCAGGGATAGTCTAAAAACAGTCCAAAAATTCACTTCAGAAAATTGTCTTATTGCACTAATACTCTTTACAACAGATACATGCAGACTCAATAAAAGATTTAAGTGAGTCTGTAAACAAAATCCAAAGTTAGGAATGTGCTACTTTTTAAGTGACATCAAACACTCAATGCCCAAGTTATTTACTTACTAAAATAGAAAATAATAATTGGTTACCTTTCTAGCTACAGTCAGCAATTTCTAAATAAACTTTGTAACTTGCTATGCAATAAATTCAATTTTTTTTTTATAGCAAATGACAAGTTTGAGTTTTTCCCCTGATACATTAGTAATAATTCATAACCTACAAGCATTGCTTTCAAAACCTTTTCTTACTCAACATTCCCTTTAGCAATAGAAAGCAAACGCTGCCAGAAACATCCAGCATTCTTGGATGTTCAGTGTTTTAGCTCAATTTCACCTAAATGGATTAAATCTGTCAGCCATAAATAACCCCCTGAAGACAAACTGCCATGGCCAGTGCAAGGACCTGATCCCAAGAGCTGCTCAGGGTATAAACCTGCCAAAGGGAGCCTGCAGGTGCTCAGCATTGCTCAGAATCAGACCTTTTGGGTAGTTTATTAAAAAGACATTCTCATGCTCCAAACCAATGTTACAGAGAAAAAGCCAAGTTAGCTGTTAGTGAATGAACATGTGCCAGAGACAAGATGCTAAGGAGCTTTCAAAAAGCAGTCCACATACCATCCCAGGTATCTCCACCACCTAGAGGAAAGTGTAAGAGATGAACACAGGTACAGGACAAAAGGCTGCAGATAAAACAGTCATTTACACAGCTATGGGAGAAGTTTTATATTAGCACATTTATCAACTAAGGCTCCACACTGCTGAGCCTACTAGGAATCAGGATGGCACTGATGAAGGGCTAAAGGATGGAAGCATTAGTGTCTGCAGATGGCCAAGGGATTCTCTGGTGATTTTGCCTCAAATGGTGTAACCAGGTCTAAAAACATCCACTTTAGCTGTGCAGGAGAACAGCTAATTACACCTGGAGGAACGGGAATCCTGAGAGCCCTACTCAAGTTCCCAAGTCATGCAAGGAGGGAAAAGCTCCCGAGCTGGAGCCGAGTTCCTTCCAGGGCTCCTCCTCACCTTCTGTCTCCATGTCTTGCCCCTTGGGAGCTTCCCCGATATCGATAGTGAACATCACTATCTTGGGAGTCATGGTGGACATCCTGTTGCTAAAGCAAAACTTGTAAGTTCCATCCATGTGGGCAGCAAAGGTGTATTTTCCACTGGACTCTCGATCGCCTTTATAAATCCCTTTATTATCAGGGCCTGTAATCTGTGTGGGGAAAACAGAGGATCACACGTTTTTATTGCAAACACAGAGGTTTAAATGCTCCATCCCAGCGCTGCCACTCATCCTCTCACAGGCACCAACACCATCTGGAATCTGGCTGCTTTGGCACGCTTCAATCTTTCCCTCCCACAACTCACTGGTGCAGCTCCCCGCACAGAAATCTCTTTTTAAAACCCCACAAACTCCTTGGTAAAAAAGTCATGCAAAAGCCTCTCTCCCTGGCCTCCTGTGGTCGAGATAAGCAGTCAAGAACAAGCAAACCACAAATCCTGGCTGCTTGGCAAATTAACAACTGCAGGGAAAACCTTATCTCTGACGTCTGAAGGAAAACAAAAAGGAAAAGAAGAAAGACATTCTCCAATCGACATTAGACACACAGTCGGGCATTCCTGCAGTTACCATTTCTAATGGACTGAACACCCGAGTTCTGAGCTCTCAGGGTCACTGTGATCCTCAGTTCCCATCCCACCAGGCCAAACTCCTGCTGCCCCTCTACCAGTGACACGTGAAGGGATCTCACAGCCACCGGCCCCTGTCCTGTGTCACAGCCTTGTGTCATTTTCAATGCTACAGGGCTCTCAGCAACACCTCCCACCTCTGTGACATCCCGAACAAAAACCTCTGTGCTCTGCAGCACGATGAAACCAACTCGTACTCCGTATCTCCTGACTTGATTCCTTCTTGAAGATCAGTACTGGCTCAAAACTTTCCCGGTGCCAACCACGCGGATTAGGGACAACACCTTGGGATCCAAGGAGCAGCACGCCGCTCCTCAGGGGGCAGCACCTGATTCCGGTGCCGAGGCTGCACCGAGCGCAGCGGGGAGCCCGAGGGAACGGGGCACAGCCCGAGGGAACGGGGCACAGCCGAGGCCGCTCCCGCCGCACGGAGACCCGGCGGGCGGGACCGGCCCCGCTCCGGCCCGGCCCGAACCCCGCGGGCGGCTCCGAGCCCGCACCCGCCCCGCGCTCCCCAGGAACGAGCCCGGCCCCGGGACGGCCCCGCTCCCCAAGGCCGCCCCCGCCGCCGCCGCCGCCGCCGCACCTCCACGTCGATGTCCAGGAAGCCGCCCTCAGCCACCTCGAAGATGAGCCCCATCTTGGTGCCGGACGGCACGCGCTCTAGGAAGCACTCCTCGGCGTGCGCGTCGATGCTGACGAAATAGGCGGCGGCCGGGGCCGCCAGCGCGGCCAGCAGCGCCAGCACCGCCCGCACCGGCGACATGGCGGAGCGACCGGCGGCGGCACCGAGCGGCGCTTCCGGCCCGCGCCGCGCCCCTTCCGGCGCACGGGGCCGCCGCTCATTGGCCGCCGCCGCCCCGCTGCCACGTACGGGCTGCGCTACGGCGGCCGCCGCCGGACAAAGCGCAGCGGCACCGCCGGGCCGCTGAGGCAGCGCCCGCGCGGCGCGGGAGGCGGGACCCACGCGCGGGAGCAGCCAATGGGAGGGGAGGAAAGGCGGGGCGGTGGCGGCGAGAGCCAATGGGAGCGGGGATGGGGGCGTTGCCTGGCAACGGGGCGGGGCGAGCGCGGGAGGCGGGAAACGGCGGCTGAGGGGATGGGGGGGCGGCGGCCCCTGAGGGACCCCGGCGGCTCCTGAGTGTAAAAAATGCATAATTTATAATTGGCTTTTCGCAAATATTACAATGAATATTATATGTGTAATGTCAGAAAGTTGTGCTGTATTAATTCTTTTAAGTAGTGTGTTAAATATAGTTTTAGGTTCCAACATAATGTTAAAATAGAGACTATGTATGTGGGGGGGAGTTTTTTTTTAGGAATGAGATACTCGCTTCGAGGAACACCTAACTCTTCCAAAGGAGAGGAATTTATGGCTTCTTATCAGAAGAAACTAATTTCTTCAGGCCTTGCTCAGACTCCAAGACGCCATAGGGATTAAAGGAAACAGTTGACATACAACAGAGTTTCTTGTTTTAGATAGAATGTATACATAACCATGAAAGATATATGAATATGCAACAAGTGTATTGTTTTAAGGGTAATTCCTTTGTTCACAAAACATGCTTTTCATTTCTTAGTGTCCAAGAGCATCCAGACGTCCGTAATTCTTAGCTTTCTATTGTCTTATAATTGTCCTAACTCTAAACTTTATTACTCTAATTGTATTATTATTCTTATAACCATTTTATTATTATTAAACTTTAAACATTTTAAAAAACAAGTGATTGGTGTTTTTCACATGCTTCACCTGAAAGTAACTATTTAAAAACGCATTCCTTGCATGACCATGCTGAAGCGCTAATTTCCAATTAAATCTCCCAAACAGAAATACAGAAGTTCATGCCTGGGCTCAAGGCAGCCTGTTTCACGACCAGCTGTTTTAATGATGTGGGGAAGGGTTAAAGACTAACACAATCTGGCTTTCCAGTGAAATATTTGTGCCTTGCTTTTGCCAATAAGCGCCGGTTGTTGTGCTCCTGGTGACACCCAGACACGTTTATCTGGCCAAATTGCCACATTTACTTCAGCGCATTCTTCTCTCTGCCTCCAGCCCCAGGTGTGAGCCCGCAGAGCTGCTGTGTCACTGAGGCACAGGGTGTGGACAAGCGTGGATGAAATTCTGCAAGACAAGCTGAGCCTGAGGAACAGCAGCTCACGTACGAGACTTTTCCTGCCAAGTCGTTTTCCAAGAGTTTGGATCAGGCCAACATCAAACCTACTGCTTCCCATGCCACAAACTGCGCTGGTTTTTCACCTTTCTCAGCTGTAGTTTTAGTCTTTACCCACGTGTTCCCTACGCTGTTATATTTTTCCTCTACCCACACTTGAACACAACAATGGGAACTCGTGTAGTACCAAATTATTATGGCAAAAATTCTTTTTCTCATCTCCGATTTGGGCAAAACGATGATTTCACAGCATAGCTGCTCCCCTGAGGTACTGCAGAGTTCTCCAAACGTTCTGCTCAGGCTGCTTCTCCTCGTGTTCCTAAGCACCTTTGCCAGGAAAGGATGACTACACCATTATTCATCCTCCTGCTCTCCCTGAACTTTGCGCAATATCCTGTGGTGTTCAACTTTGAGAATAAGTTTTGTGAACAATATATAGATCTATATTTTCACTGAGTTATTGCTCTAACTTAGGCAGTTGACTGCCAGGCTCAGGTATCTGGGGACTGATTGCTCCCCTCCTGGCTGCCCTGGTACCTACAGACAGGGCATGAGGAAGATCAATATTTTGTACTCTATGGCAGAGCGAGGTTGTGACAGAATTGCATTAAAAAGTTGGTTTGGCTGTCACAGTGTTGCATTTCTGGGTGTTACAGTGTGACACTTCTCATTTTTCATCCCTCCCATTCACCTGTGCTAGCCTTTTGCATCTGCCAAAAGTGGATAATTAATGTTGTATTCACAACATGCGGCGTGTCCAGTCATTCCAGGCTTGGCTTTTGCAGCCCCACTGCTATTTCTCCTGACTGGTTCCAGTGTTTGATATTACTCATCATATCTTATCCAAAATGAAATGCATTCTTCCTATTCTGCATAGAGCAAAAGGCAGGATTGGGACCTAAAATTATTTCCAGGCACATTTAACTTATCTGTAGAGACTCATCTGCGGCATCTCTTCTAAACCCTATGGAAATAAGAACATCCAAACTTTCACAGTCACACCTGAAAGCAAAGAATACTGAAAAACCTGACGAGAAAAATGCATTTTGGTTTCATTTAAATTCCTCTGTAAGTGGATCCATGCCAGCAAGATGCTTGTATGTACAAAATCTCCACTGATCCTCCGAACATGTGCTCAGTAAAGACTCTGTGCTCTTGTAGAGAAGAGCCTAAACCCCTAACGCTGATGTGTGCTGTGCTGCGGAGGGTTTGTTGACCCCTTCCAGGCTCCCGCAGACATCCGTCAGTCTCCGTCCTCCTCGGGAGCAGGGGAACATCACCCCCGTCCATCCCGGTCCGGACACGCTCTGCACACCGCGCTCGCTGCTGGGTACCACGGGCACACCCTGCGAACCCGCTGCATCGTCTGCGCGGGACCGAACCCCGAACACGGTTTCGGGGAGCTCTGCCCGCTCAAACTCGCGGCTTCCTCCGCGGACGAGGCCGCAGGCGAGGTCTGTACCGAGAGCGCTCCCGCTGCTGCTCGGCGCAGCACCGAGCGAAGCGCACCGGCGCTTGGCGATGCGATGCGATGCTCCTCTCCCCACCCGAGCGAATCCCCGCGGGGCAGCGACTCCCACCGCGGCTCCTGCGGGCGGGTGAACACGGACCCGGCCCCGGGACCGGGCGGCGCGGGGCCCGCGGGCATGCGCGGGGCCGCCCCCGGCCCGCCCGGCGCCGGGCATTGGTGGCGGGGCGGTGGTGGCGGGGCCGCCGCGCCCGCCTCCCGCCGCCGCTCCCCCAGCACCGCCCGGCCAAGTTTAAACACCCCCGGCCGAGCCGCCCGGAGTTCGCGGGAGTTACCGGGACCGGCGGCAGCGGGACCGCCCCGCCCGGAGCGCGCCCGCCGCCGCCTATGCGGGAGCCGCGGGGCCGGGCGAGCCATGGACGGCGGCGGCGGAGGGGTGCCGCCCGCCCTGGAGAAGAACGCGGCGGAGCTGACGGTCATGGACGTGTACGACATCGCCTCGGCCGTGGGGCAGGAATTTGAGCGGGTGATCGACCAGCACGGCTGCGAGGCCATCGCCCGCCTCATGCCCAAGGTGGTGCGGGTGCTGGAGATCCTGGAGGTGCTGGTGAGCCGCAACCACATCAACCCCGAGATGGAGGAGCTGCGCCTGGAGCTCGACCGGCTGCGCCTGGAGAGGATGGACCGCATCGAGAAGGAGAGGAAGCACCAGAAGGTGCGGGCGGGGACGGGGGGACGCGGCGGGGCAGCGCTGCCCCCGCCTGCCGCAGCCGCTCGGGGGAAGTCGGGCTCCGGCTCCCCCGCCGCCGTTCTCCCCCCGCCGCCGCCGGGAAAACAAAGAGCGACCCCGGTGTGCGGGCCGGGATGCCGCGGAGCCGCGGGAGCGGGCGGGGCACGCGTGCGGTACAGCCCGGGCGGGCTCACGGGCTCTGCGCGGATGCTGCCGTAGCGTCGCTGAGGCTTTGGGCGTGTTGTTGTTTTTTGTTTCCTTCCCTCCTGGAAGTTTCCTCCCTCCTTCCCTTTCTCCACCCCTTCCCCGGTCACTGCATTTCCTTCCCCTGTGCCTGGCCGATCAGGACTCCTGCTCCATCCCCTCTCCTGACGAGAGGATGGTGCTGCTTCCTGCTGGGCCAGGAAAGGTCACTGACAGGAATACACTTTCCTCTCCGGAGCTGGGAATGATTTAGCAGTCTAGTTTTCCTGGAACAGACTTCGGGTTAGACAAGTCATAGGAGAGAGATGAAGAACCAAGTGATTTCAGAGCAGAGTTAGAGCTGAAGAGTAGGGAAGAGCACTCTGCCAGATTGCTGCTCCATCCTCTGATGGCAAGATGTCCTTTGGCTTGTTTTGGGGTGATCACACCTTTCCCTGACCCCACTCCCATTAAAGCCCAAGGCAGAGAGCATTTCCATACCATTAGCCTCTTATGGCAGGACAGTACACTCCAGTTACTGCAATAAAAGTGGCAGATCCACTCTTTAAACCATCCAGATAACTGATATAAGAAATTATTCTTCTGGTAAATGACTATGCTAAATCATCACTGCTGCCTCATGCCATTCCTGATTCCACACAGAGAATCAGGATAAACAGGAGACAGGGGATTCTGGAAGTGAGACCCCAGATTTCAAGATTTGGCTTAACTGGATAAATCCCAATTTTATATTTTAAAAAGAGTCAGCTAAAGGATTTTTATCTGGCATATGGAAAATCTAGGATAATCCCTGAAACATTTTGCAGATGAAGTCTCAGGGCAATGTCTCTGAAAAGGAAAGTAAAAGACCTATAATGTACAAAGTCTTGATAAGTCTCAAGAGTATGAAAAAAGAAGGTCTAGAGAACAGATACAAACATGTTGGATATTTACCAAAGGCTGTGGGTGAAGCAGATACTGAAGTGTCCCAGTGTCATTGTACAAGTTGTTCTGTGGAGATGTTTCTGAAGTTCTTATAAGTGTTAAAAAGTTTCCTAAGCATGTCAGCTGATCTCCCTGCCAGTCAACCACCTCTGCTCTGTCAGCTACTCTGAGGGCCATGAAGTGGCTCAGGGAGAGTTTAAACGATTTACACAATCTAAACAGATTTAACAGGAAAATAAACTGCATGATACATACCTTTTATTTTTTTTAATCAAGCTGGTTCCTAGTGCACCAGATCCCTACAGGACTGTGGTCTCTCCTCTTCCCTGTTCCAATGAGAGGGTTTGAAGACTCCTTCACAGCACAGATGCTGATAAACAGAAAAAAACAGATACTGAGAAACAGTTTTTGACCTGAAACCCTCCAAAAAAAAAAAAACAAATCCAGAAAAGCTTTTAGTGGTCCTTGCAAGCATCAGTTTATGAGATTTCAGCACTTAAATTTTATGTGTGGATCTGTTTTGCTTGTAAACCTGGCTCAGCACGCACTGCCTGGGGCTTCCTGAGCTGGCTGGCACTGCCTGGCCTGTGGATGTGCCTCCCTGTCTGGTACTTCCACTAATGAGGATTCAGAAGTTAATTTCTGCTCCAATTCATTGGGCTCTTCAATAGCAATAAACGACAAAGTTTGCCTAGGCAAACCTTGGGATGGTGGTGTGTTTACAGTGCAGCAACATATAAATGATATAAGTTTAGACTGGGGGTTTGTGAGCATTCTGTTTTGGTTTTATCAATATGCTTGTAAGAGTGAATGTGCTGGTTTATTGCTAAAATAGGTCACTGCGTTATTTTAGCTACAGAGTTGTAACAGGCAACATCACTGTAAATAGTCCAGGTTTTTGGAAATATCCATTTAATTACAGATTTACTTTTCTCTCAAGATAAAGAGTTTCAAGTAAAATAGGTGATTAATGAGATTTTCTTTCCTTTTTAATGGTTGTCTGTGTAGCTTACCACACCTTTGCTATTTATTATTCTTTGCCACCTAATGTTTTCTGCAACACTTTTAGCAGCAATAGGGTAATAAATGCTGGAATAAAATGGCATTTGGACCCAAAAGTCATCAGGAACATGACTTCCCATTATCAGAGCATACATACAAAGCAGAGAGCTATCCTTTAATCTCTCAGCAGAGCTTATTTTAGCCTCGAGCTGCGCTTGGCTGGGTTGTTGTGTGAATGTGTTTTGTTGTTAGGTAGGAAAGGGGCATGTGGATGGATGTGAAAGTCAGCAGTGACTCAGCCTGGCTCCAGGGATTTGCATGCAGCTTTTTGTCTGAAGTACATAAGTGAAAATGGAGCAGGGACTGCCCCCCACTGCAGAAGTGAGATATACAGAGAAGCTTTTGGAACGAGCAAGGTTCTAAATACAACTGTTTTCCTTAAGGACTTTTACTTTTTGTCCTGACTTGACCTTCATGAGGATTGGTGACAGCTGCTCTTGACACACAGTGTCCCGACAAATGGGAGCTGTTTTGGCTGGCCTGGCTGCACTAAGGAGGCACCACTCAGGACATTCCAGCAGAACGATTTACATAGGAAGCAGCACTTGTGTTCATCGTGTGCACCAGGAGCTCTGCCTTTGCTGCACTGGATCACACACTCATCAGTTTACACTTGTGTTTCATAGAAGGAATTTAGCCCAGGCTGTTCTGTCAGAAGGAGCATGTCCACCCCTGAGTTCCTGGGATGGTCTGGGGGGTCTCTAACAGCTTTGCAGTTGCCTCCTGGGGTGCTGGAGGGAGTTGGTGCTGGTGTTTGGTTATTTGTCCAACACAACCCCCTTAATGTGGTCCTCACAGCACAGCAGGGTATGAGGAGCCATCCTTTGGGTAACTTGCTTTGCATCAGGAATGATCCCCTTGGGTACATTCAGCATTCAACAACTTGGGCACATTCAGCATGTAGCAAAAGGGACTGTGGTGGCTGGTTTCCTGGTGGTGGCATTAGAAAAGCAGATGTCTTCTAAGAAACTCCAAGTAGTCGCATTTAATTGTTTTCCATAAGAATCAGTAGGATTATTACTAGTTTGATCTGTAAATTGTCCAGTCAAAGACTCTTAACATGTTTTAAAATACAAATGTGTTGATCTACCCTATAGGAATTAGAACTGGTGGAGGATGTCTGGAGAGGGGAAGCACAGGATCTTCTTACCCAAATTGCACAGCTGCAGGAGGAGAATAAACAACTGATGACAAACTTGTCTCACAAAGACATTAATTTCACAGAAGAGGAATTTCAGAAGCATGAAGGCAAGTTTGCTACTTCAAATTCAGTCCTTGCTTTGTTACAAAAAGCAACACTTTATCAAAATACTTTGACTGGATATTCTGGTGTGGTTTTCCCCTGTAGATTAATTCAGATCTGGGTTTTGAAGACTTGTTTGTTTATTTATTTATTTATTTTTACCTAAATAGAAAATCTCTGAATACATGATGACACTGAAGATATGATAAAAGGTAAAGGAATGAGGGAAAGAAAACCAACTTTTTGTTTGGCTGAGAAGCATCTCTGGAAGTAAACTTTTGGTCTATCTCTTGTATGGGTTCTCATTTTGCTGGAGGTGGATGAAACTCTGTCCAACACTGTGAAAGTTGCACTTACTGTCTCCCCAAGGCTCAGTGCTGCTCACTTACACTGGGGAAGAGCATAATGAAACCTTCAAAAAGTAAAAATTGTTAAACCTCTCAAGATACTTTTTCAAACAAATGCAATGCTTTCAAATTAGAAGTCAATTAGTGGCAAAGAAGTGGCTCAACATCAGGCTGACAAACTCCATGCAAAATTCAGAATGGCAGCAATGACTCATAGACCATGAAGACTGACATTGTGTTATAAAGAACCAGCTCCCCCTTTGTTTTCTTTTTTTTTTTCCCTTCTTTTTTTCCCTTCCAGTGGCCATCTAGCTCACTGCAGCTCATGTGCTTGCATTTAAATATAGCCATACTCTTCACATCCAGCCAGCCAAGCAAATGCCAGACGTGCTTTTCTTGTTATTTTTACTGTGTCTACCCATGTATGACAACACAAACAAAACCCATAAGCCCATTCCAGAGCTTATATTCTGAGATCACTGATATTCTTTGGCCAAAATATTAGGTTTAAGTGAAATCTTTTAGTTTATATCAACCCCATGTAATTATTTGGATCAATTATATCAAAGCTGACTGTTTTTCTTTTAGGACATATTGTCATTAATGAGCAGGGATAGATTTGCCTCAAGTGACTTGTTTGGATAGTGTCAGAAAGCAGTTCTGCTGCTCTTTTTCAGTCTCTGTCCTGTGGTTTGATGTAGAGTCCAAAGAGGCAGCATGTCAAGCTCAATCCTGTGTTAGCTGGACTAATTTAGAGCAGACTGCAGTGCCCCTGTGTGAGCATGGTTTAGCTCTGCGATCACATCTGCCCTCAGCGCTGGCCACGGGGATCAGCAGCTCACTGCTCACTCACCACACAGAGAGGGGTGATTTTATACAGAGAGCAGAGAACACTGATCTGGGTGTGCAAGGCCTCGAGAGTCAGTCCTGACAATTAATTCTCAGAGCCTCGCTTGAGTGTGAGGAAGTGTTTGTGGGTGAGGCAGAGGCAGTCCTGTGCAAACAGGAGCGTTCTGTGCAGTCTGAGCAGAGGGGCTCCTGTGAAAGGACCTGTGACAGCAGCACTCAAAAGGTGAGGGAGGGGATAAAGATGAGCCTGTAACACTCATGAAAGTGACTCCTCCCAAGCCCAAATGGAGCACTGCTTGAAGCTTGATGGTGCTGACTGATTGGAATATCCCAGGAAAGTGCCACATGCAAACCTGACCCAAGTGTGTCAAACAGGATGAGCAGGCTGCTGTGCCACTGCAGAGGAGCTGCTGTCCCAGCCTGGCTGTGGTAAGGGACAGGCAACAGGATGGCAGCACTCGTGTGACCCTCCTGTGCTGCAGGACCTACAGTTCCCTTCAAAAGGGGTGTTGAACTTGTTCTGAGTGTTTAGGTAATGGTGCAGTGCCACAGGCTCTGCCTGGCACTTGGCCTGTAGTGACAGATGTTGTATGGACACAGCACTGAACAGATCACTAAACAAAAGGAATGTACTTTTTTTTTTTCCCCAGTTTCTTTTCTTTTTTCGGTGTCCTCCCCTCCAGCTGCTTTCCATTCTCTTGCTGGAATGACGCCAGGATCACAGCAAACCACAGGAAGCTGCTCATAGGATGTGCCTGGGGAAGCTGGCTGGGTGTGCCATTTAAGATCTTGCATTTATTAGAGTTTGAACCATTTAGAGATAATTATTTTACATTTAGGGCACTTAGTGATTTCCCTCTCCTCTTTCCCAGTGCCTGAGGAAATGGAAGGAGATGTGACTGTTTCACAAAACTCCCCACCTTTCCTTCCCCCTGCCACCATTTCCTGAAATAAAAATTGTAATGATCTGTGCACACAATTGAAGCCTTTTAGGTTCACCAAATGTTAGCAAAAAAAAAAAAAAAAAAAAAAAAGAGCACAGTGGGAGGAAAAGTAAAAGTAGTCAGCACTGAATGGTATTTTTTCCTTTAAATAGCACCTGCTATCTAGAGATCTCAAAGCATCTCACAAGTACTAATGGATACAGCTGCATTCACTACCTCCTTCTGGGTGAAACCACCAGTCTAAAGTTTCACTGCAGGCCCTCTACTTCAAGGCAAAGTTTTAGATTCTTTTGGTTTTAAATACAGCCAATGTTTCAGGCCCCAGCCCCAAGGCAGGCTGCAGTGAGTGGATCCAGGAACCTGCAGTGAGGTTTTTGGGTGCAGAGAAGTACCAGACCTGTGTTGTGAGAGAGGAATGTGGATCTTTTAGAACAGTTAAGCAGCAGTTTGTGTTTGTGACACTTGTTTTCCCTGGTAGGTATGAGCTGGTACCACAGCAAAGAATTAAAATTATCCTGTGAAAAAACTAGAACCCAGAACAGCACAGAGCTGATAAAAACCAGGGTCCAGAAATAGAGCAGGCAAATGTACCACAGAATTAAAAGGGGTGAGAACGTAACACTAGAATGTGAACACCATGTCACTGACAGTTCTTTTCTGGGGCTTGACAAGAACATGTCCTGTGAACCAAATTTCTGGCCAGCCATGGCCACAGGTCCTTTTCCCAGCAGAGCAGTTCCTGTTCTCTGCAGTACCACAGCTCTGGTCCTTTAGCACTGAGCATTGGAGCTGCTGTTCCCCTGTTTGCTCTGGTCCACTCCCTACATGGGAGTCCACAGCTGCTGCAGGAGTGCACATCCACCAGTTACTCCCTTTCCTTCTCTGAGCTTTGTCCTGCTCTTCTCTATTATCCCTCAGTTCATTCTGTAGCTGACCTGTGAGCTGGAGTTCCTACAGACATGCAGCTAATTTCTCTTGTGGGAGCAACTCTGGATTTCTCTGATGGGGGAAGAACAAAACCAGGAAGTCTCAGCTGATGTTAGAAAGTAGAGTCTTTCCTAGCTGGACACATTTGATGCGTACAGAGAATATTTCTGATGTGGGAGCTGCTTTAATATATTGAAAAGGAAGCAGCTTTCCAGCCAGCCCAGAGTGAGGAGTGAATTAGCACCACTTGCAGTTCATAAATGGAAGAAGCTGAAGACCCACATAACAAAATGAATACAGATAGCAGCAGACCCTGAATTTGAGCTCCTGCTTGGGCTGGGCTTTGGCCAGAGGAGCCACACACTGCCCTGGTTGCAGGGTTTTCATCTTCAAGGATGCTGTGCAAAGTGATTTCATGTGATAGCTCAGGACCATCAAACTGCACATCTCTGTGCCAGTCTCAGGGAAGGAGATTCATCATCTCACCAAGGTAAAACCTCTGCTCTGTGTCTGCTCTCAAGAGTCCATCACTGCAGTACCAGATCCAAGTTATCTCTGTAATGGCAAATAGAAGAATGTTTCCTGTGGTTTATGACATTTCCTAATGATTAATTGGTCAGAGTTAAGGTTAGTCTAACCCCTTCTTTATTTTCAGACAAGATTGGTGTTGGATTCTTGGCAATGTTCCAAACTCCTTTCACCAGTGAAATGCTATCAAGTATTCTTCTCTCAAGTGCAGTTACTCTAAATATGGATTACTACACAATGGGATGGGAAAAGGGTGGCAAAAAATGAAGAGAAAATATGTGACCATGATTCAGACTAAATTTTGGTTCTGCATTCAGGGTGGGGGTACCCTCTGAAGGTCCTGTTTCATCTTCATTTCACCAAACACAAAGCTGGATCTCAACTAAAAATCAATCTAGTTCAAAAACTGGATTTCAACTAAAAATCAATCTTCTCAGCTGGTTTGGATCCAGATGCAATTCACAACAGTGATGTGTTGTTTACATCTTACTGAAGATCCAGACCATCTTTTTTACAATTTTCACAAGGCCTTGGCCAGCTGATTCCAGAGATAATCACACAGATAACCAAGCTCCCTGAGGCACAGTATGAACATTGATGTAAAACTGCTAAGGCAGGAAGATGCAGCAGTGTCACTCACTGTTATAAATGTTTCTGAGGACTGTCAGTTCCTTTTTTAAAGAGTCTCTTTGCGGTGGCTTTATGGAGTGGATTCTGTCATCAGTGTTCTCTGTTACCCTTGAGGTAACCTCTAAAGCATCTCTGTAATTCTACCAGCAGGCAACTTCCAGAGTCTACTTAAGTATTTCTCATTGCTATTGTTCTCAGCCTCAGCAGCTCCTGACTGTCCTTAGTTTGTGTTCTGTGTTCTTTTTTTAACCAGGGATGTCAGAGAGAGAACGGCAAGTCATGAAGAAGCTGAAGGAAGTGGTAGATAAACAGAGGGATGAAATCAGGGCAAAGGACCGGGAACTTGGACTTAAAAATGAGGATATAGAGGCTGTAAGTGGTTCCTTACAGCTTATTCTCTTCCTATTTCTCTTCTTTCTCACCCACACCTCCATAGCCTGGTTTTGAGTTTGAAAATATAAATAGTGCTGGATTAGTAGTCCTGCAACTGATGTATCCAGCAGAGCTGTGGAGTGTCCAGAATGGTCAGGCTTCAGTGTAGTCCCACACCAGGGATGCAGTGTGGATCATCTCTGCACGAGAAGGGCACTGCTCAGCCCAATGCTCAGCCCAAGCCTGTTCAGATGAGTCACAGACTCCACTGTGACTCCAGGCATGACATGAGATTTGGCACTTGCTGTGGAATGACCTCCTTACCCATATTTTGCTTCCCATTCCTCACAGTGCCTCATGTCCTTAGGCCATGGGACTTTCCTGGTGCTGGTAAGGCCAGGCCTAAGTGATCTCTGCTCTGCCCAAGTGCCTCTGGCAGGTGCTGCCTTTCGAGTTGGGGCTGTCCACACACACCCAGCAGGTCACATCCTGCCTTAGGAGAGAGCCCTGGAGCTGAAAGCAAAGTACTTCTAAACTAAACACTGGGGATTCCTCTGTCTTGTCTTTCTTCTCCCCGGGTTAAGATTTGATTCAGAATCCCATAAGCCACCCTATCCTTGAATTAATATCAGAAGTGATGGATTTGGTTTTATCTGAAAATCTCCCTGTGCTAGGGAAATTTACTCTAAAAATCAATTAAATTTGGGTGTCTGGAACTGTAGTAGAAAATTAGATATTAGAAAAACTAATCTGGGGGTGAGGAGAGGGGGGGAATTTTTCAGACTAAATGCAACAGGAACCCACTGCTTCAAGATGATGTTTGGGACTGGGCCATGATGGCTCATGGCACGCTGAGCTCTTGCATGGATGTTTTGCAGCTTCAGCAGCAGCAGAACAGGCTGATGAAAATTAACCACGACCTGCGGCACCGGATCACGGTGGTTGAGGCGCAGGGGAAGGCGCTGATCGAGCAGAAGGTGGAGCTGGAAGCGTATCTGCAAACCAAGGAGCAGGAGATGGGCAACCTGAGAGCAGAGCTGGGCAAGCTCAGAGAAAAGCTGCAGGGTGAGGACAGCCAGGCCAGCCAAAATGGGGAGGAAGTAAAGGTAAGAGGCACTTTGGATCACTTTTTAAAGAGCCTTTTAAAAAGCTTTGGACTTCATAGCAAGTACCTCTTTGTGTTTTGGCAGATTTGTGGTAGTGAGTTTGCTTCATTTTCTTTGTACACACCTACCCCTTCCCCCTGAGGAAAACAAACCTATTCCTTGGTCTGGGTTTTCAAAAGACAAACAGCCAACAGTAGCTTCAGCTTTGCCAGGTCTGCAAATATTCAAGGCCAGATGGGCACAGGGGTGCATGGGGGTGATGGTGGCAGCTGAACCACAGTGGAACAGAAACTGCCAGAAGTGGTCCCAGAGTCGGGGCAGAGCTCTGCACACCTGGTCCCCGCAGTTCTTATGGCACTTCAGATCAGTCAGGATTAAGCTGGTTAAGTGCTACCACATCAACATATAAATATTTCAAGGCACTTTCTAGAGGAACTAACTTTGGCCTTATTTCTGCTTTTGCTTCCTATTAGAATTTGTGCAGTGAAGTGTTGTGAGCACAGATGTTCATGAAAAGCAAACTTTCCTGCTGGCAGAGCCAGGTTCTTGCAGAACAGGCAAAGTGACAGTCTGCAAATGGAGCTGGGCTGAGATCAGAGCAGCAGGAATGCAAATTTGAGGGGAGCTTCCTGAGAAAAAGATGCACTGATCTGTTGATCCCTTAGTCCTCTTTATGGTTCCTAGTATTTTCCTTTGTGCCTGTGACATTACTTTTTTATTCCTGAAGCAAATGTAGTGCATTTCCCCCTCCTAATGATGCTCTTAGCAGAGCAGGAAATGCAATAAGGGGTGTCATGATATTTAAAACTTAGAGGAGCTCTGACACACAGAGCTGTTCAGCTTAATGCATTGGTAAGAGCTCCACAGTGTAAATGCCTGACAGACTGCAGCAGAGAGTGAAACATCCAGTGAAACATCCATTTCACTGGCAACAGGCAGGAACACACATCAAAAAGGAGAGACAAGGTCTGATGGGGTACCTTGGTCCCCTGGGACTGTGACAGCCAGTGTTGTGTTAACATGTCACTGCTGAGTTGGACAAGCACTGTATTAATAATGAAAAGGATTATTTCATTGCTGTTAATTCAGCCAGGACACCCAGCTTTGTAAACAGGGCTGGGGAGCCCAGGCCTGAAGCCAGCAGGAGTGAAAGTGTCCTCAGTGTCTGCAGAGAAAGGATGCATTCTTCACCTCTCTCTAACTCATCAGTTCCATGGCAATGGTGCCTCTTCTAATTAGAGCCGTCCCTGCTCCCTCTGGCAGGACACTGCTCCCACAGGAACTGCAGTGGCAAGCAGAAAGTGGAATAGCTGCATGCTCCAGAATGGACATTGCTGGTTGGCCTCAGTCAAGGACATTTGCATCGGGTACAGGCTGCTCAGTCTTTGCTGGTTTGAGCCAAATCTAGCAAAAATAGCTTCTTTGGGCAGAGATATGGGACAAATACACAACCAAAAGAAGAGACACCAGCTCAGACCTGTACCTAGCGGGTGAAGAGGAGGAAAAGTATTTGGGTAATTTCCTTTGAACCTCTTGTTGCATCAATCTTTATTCCATGTAGTCTGGGCAAAGGAATGTGTTTGGATGGAAAGGGCGATCAAACAGTGCCCAAGTGAGCATCACTCTGCTGCCTCATCCCTGCAGGACAGGCACTGAAATTCACCTTGCACCAGCCTTAGCCAAGTTCAGCCTGAAATCATGGATCAGTGTATGGAAAACACAGGAGCTTAGAAAAGGGTAGAGTCAGGATTACAAAAAATGGACTGTGTAGGAATTTCACTTCTCAACTCCTCAAATTTCCAGCAAGCTGTCACTGCCACACAGGAGCTCTGAGACTCTGATCTCTGCATCCTTCCACGAGACCGAGTGGCTGACCTGGCTGCTGGCAGCTCTGATTTCATGTGCTGGCCTTTATCAGTCCTTGCAAAAAAACAATCACATTTCAAATGGACTTTGCTACATTTCAAATGTATTTTCCTGGAACAGAGTGTCCTGCCTTTATTTGTATTGTTACAAATCCTGCCTCTTAAGGCTTGGAGCTGCTTTTCAGAATCTCGGTTCCAAGTACCCTCCCCAGAACCTTGTGATTTTTCATCATTGTATGTTTACATTAGAAGAAGACACTTCTTTGTGGGGGGAGCTGGAAAGAACTGTATGACCTTTGTCATGCCATTTTTTCAGTGTTTAGATAAAAAACTGATGTTTGATTTACACTATTTGTTAAAAGTATGAATTCCTAAAACTGACTTATCAAAAGGTGGACATTTGAATTGGACAGTGAATTTAAAGACCACATTTCACTCCCTAGGCAGAACCAAACAATGATGATTGTCTCTCTGAGTCAGAAAAAATGGCAATGGACTTAAAAGATCCCAATCGCCCAAGATTCACCCTGCAGGAGCTCCGGGATGTTCTTCACGAGAGGAATGAACTGAAATCTAGAGTGTTTTTGCTTCAGGAGGAGCTTTTATATTACAAAAGGTGGGTTACATCTCCTCTCCTGTTGGATGATATACTCAGGGACCCACAGGGCAGGTGTAGAAACAATAAATGTGCTCTGAAGTTCTGTCCAAGTTCGTGTTCCTGCAAAGGTTTGTGCAGAGACTGCAAGAATGTAGCCTCAGTTGGAGCCCCGTACCTCAAACTTGTTCTTCCCTAACTCCCTGCTCTGCCCTGAATCCTAGAAAGATTGCAAACATCTAATACATTTGAACTTCAAAAAATGAGAATAGGAGTGGGTCTAAAATGAAAATTCTAGACCTTTTATTTAATCCATTCCTCTTCTCCCTCTCCTTGTCACAATGGGAAGAAAATATTGAATGGAGTCTCAGTTCTTGCTGCTGATCTTTGGTTGATAAAAAATTTTCAATTGATCTGAATGGCTTTTGAACAGATCTTTTTGCATTCCTACATCAACAGTGCTACCTCAGATTGAATTGTAGATCTCAAAGTGCTTCCATGGCTTGGGAGGAGAACATTAATTATCTTTTCTTTCTTTCAAGTGAGGAAATAGAAGAAGAAACTAGATCCCCACAGCCTACACCCATAATTCAGCCAAAACCCTCAACTCAGCCTGAATCTGGAATCAAACGACTGTAAGTAGCATATTTACTAAGCATACTGGGTACAGTCTGTAAATACCAAATGTTTCTTATGCATAGGACAATTTTAAAGACTTTAAAAAATTCAGATAACCACATTCCTACTGTATATGAGAGACACACCGAATGAGTACTTGGCAGATGTAAAACAACAGTTGGTTTTGGCCAAAACTTTTGTCTAGATCTGAGACAACTTTCAGTCTTGGATTATCATTTTCCCATGACCTCACTGTGTCCATTTCCCTGTTGACTGAAGCCTTTAAACCCTGACTTGCACTATGTGGGCAGCACAAAACCCTTCTGTTTGCTGAGCAAATTTGCTGCTGAGAGGATGGGCACTTGCTTGGCTAGAAGAACCCCACCTTTTTCTGAAATATGAATGCTGCTGTTGGCACCAAAGCTTACTGCCAGAGATGTGCTGTTACTAGAGTATCACTTAATTATAAAATCACTGTGTTGGCCAGTCTTTTTCTCTGTTGAAACTCCCTCCTGTACATTTATTTATTCCAACTTAAGTCTTCTCACAGCAACTCTTTAGATTTTTGTGATACCAGAAGCTTAACTTTTTAAACTGCATAAGTGATTTTGGACCTGTTGTTTCCATATAAAGAGTTCTTCCATCCTGTCCCCATGTCCACAACCTTCAGTCCTTGTTTAGTAACAGCAGCAGCCCTGTGAGAGTAAATTCCATAGGAAGATCTGGACTGACCCAAAACACCAGGAAGTCAGGAGGGCACTGTTGATTATTTGAAGTAGACTGCAACTTTCTGCCTGTGCTGAGAGAAACCTTCCTCTCACATGAGTAGAAAATACACTTTGAGTTTGGATTTCAGTTTTCATTCTGTGGCTGTGGTGATTATGATGATGATCATACTGTGTCGCACAAGATATTAACTGTAAAGTTTCTTTTACATTTCTTTTAGAGTTTTTAAAAGCTAATTCTGTTGTAGGTAACAGTTTTCAGGTTTGTCTCATTCTTGCAGCCTGTCTGGATAGGATTTCTCTGGTGGGGTTTTATTTTCCTTCCCTCCTCCCGTCTCTGTGTGTTGTGAACACTGTGCTTTTAGTTGGGTTTGAAAAAGTCAGGAAATGTCACTGCTGGGCAAACCAGAGAAGCCAGTGTAGCTTCTGTCCTGTCCCAACCCCCTCCTGCCCCAGCTGCAGTCCCTGCCTGCTGTGAGGTGTCTCCAGAGCTCCCTTATCCCTCCCCAGGGTCCCTCTGGCTGCCTGGGGAACACCTACATGAGCTGTGCCCAGTGATGTGATGAAAACTTCCAGTGCTGCTCTCTGCATGCAGAGTGCCTTTACAGAGGAAAATGGGGTTGCTTTTCCCTCCCTTTCACAGTTTTTCTCCTGATTAAACAAAAAGCTGAAGTACAAAAATAGGAGCCCTCTCAAGGGGAGTTTTATGCTTGCCTGTGCAATGTGCCCTTTTTGCCTACATCACACAGAGTCTGGGGGAATGAGCCATATGGATGTGTAGCCTGTGCCATCCAAGATGTGCTCAGGTGATTCAGTGCTGCAAGTCCATAACAAAAGGAAAACAGAAGCTACAAAAATCAGCATTTTTTCTGGGTTGGCACGTTTGGGGCAAACTCTTGAGTTCTCATCTCAGACTGCCTGACTCGAACATTTGTCTCTCCCACATCACATGACAGATTTTTAATGAAATAATGTAACCAGGAGGCTTTACTGAGGAGGAAAAGTCCAAGGATTAAAAATGCTCCCTCTGTTTGGAGCAGAAAACACCCTTTTGTTTTCTCCTTAAGACTACGTGCTTGTTTGTCACTGATGTCATGCCTCAAGCAGCCAGGAGTTTTCTTCCTTTCTTGCAGTCTACAAAAGCTGGTGTGTCTGTCAGCTCTGCAGCTCAGGATGTGCCATGTTGCACAAAAATAGAAATCCTGGCTGCTGCTAAAGATCCAACAGTGCTTGCCCATTTGTCTTCAATTTTAATCCCAGAACAGCAGTTAGTGAACTGGGGAGAGCTGTATTTGGTCACAAGTGAAATGTCTCTCATGATTTCAACTTAATCTTTAATTGACATTAGTCCACAGTTCAAAAAAATATTTGGCACAAGGGAGAACCTGTGAGGAGAATCCTTAGACAGACAGAGGGTGTTGCAGGTACGGATGGAGGTGTGCTGGCAGGGCTGTGTGGGGCTGGCTGGGCACAGAGCACTCGGCTCTCTCGGCCTCTGTGCTGCATGGAGTGGCTAATGCTCAGTGGAAGTGCTGAACCCTCACAAAGAACCCGTCTTGCTGCGAGCCAGCTCCTAAATGCTGCTGCCAGAGCAGCTGCAAGGTTTCCCAAAAGCATTCAGCTGCCTGCAGTTGGCATCTTTCTGCATGAGAAGTAACACAAGTTCCTTTGGAACAGACACACAGGCCCTTTAACCACGGAGCTTCCTAGGAGGTTATTTCAAGAGTTCACCTGCAATACTGGTTTTTAACTTGAAAATATCAACTGTTACCCTTGTGGAATCTTTAACTGTAATGCTGGTCCTCTCTAACCCTGTGCCAATCCAGTAGTCACAGCAGAGTCCTGTTTTGTATTTCTTAACATACACCTTCATCCTTCATTTCATTGTGTCTGTGCCTGTTTGTCTCTTGGAACAAAAATGTGCACTCTGCTCTGCATTGCTAGAGGTGGTCATACCTTCATGAAACCCAACCCAGGTTGCAGGCTGCCTCACAACAGGAAAGTGGTATCTTTTAGAAATCCAAAAGCAATTGAAACTGTTACAATAACTGGTTTTTCTGAACAAGAGTTTTTCACTGAGGAGAGCTGTCTTGGGTGATGCAGATCCCCCTCTCCCTGTAACGTGTCCTGTGTTGTAATTCAAAGTAACCCCATGTATCATGTTTGCCTCTTTTCTTTTTAATGGAATGCCTTTTCTTTCCCTTGCTCCAGTCTTATCTCTTCTGTGTCTGTACTTTCCTGACCAGGATCTTTACAGCCATAATGCCCATGGTAGCAGCTGGATTGATTCCAGACGATCCCACATTGCAGCCAATAAGAAGACTTGTGTCCCTTGTAGGAATTTTTTTAAAATGTTTGGTACTGTGGTTTCCTCTTGCATGACCCTGTGTTAACAAGCACTGCTGGTTGCATTCTCCTGGCTGCCAGTGGGATCCCAGAGGATCAAAGTGCCAATCAGAATGACCAGTCAGTGTCAGTACTTATCCCAGTCCTCCATGCTCATCCTCAAACTGACATGTTATCACCCTTTGCCTTAATGTTGCCACACTAAACCAATCATTATTCCTTGGAAAATCGGTGCAATATGGAGTTTTAACCAGCATCTGTTAATCTGCTTCCTAAGCAAGGCTATTCACAGTTCTCACCAGTGCTCTTTGAGAAACTCGTTTCTAATAATTTGTTACAATCATTAGTTAGAGTTACAGAATGGAGAGGCTGATTTCCACATTAATTTCCACTGTTAATTACAGGCTGTTGCTTTCATGTCTTTCTATCTATGCCCTGTATATTTTGTCTCTAATTATGTATTTTGGAATAGAGTGTAAACTCTTCATAATCAATTCTGTCATCCAATTCTTGGCTCTCCCTGGAAGACATACTGATAATTGTTAATTCAAAGTCTCTTTGCATTAGAACTGCTGCTTTAGCAATCTTTATATTTACAGCAATGACACAGTTTCCTCTCCACACAGACAGGCTTTTTCCAAACATTCTCCATGAGAGTTTTCTAAGCATAATAACAATTTTCATTGTTTCAGAAGGAATTTTAAAAGTTGAACCCTTTAGAGACTTACGAACTTCTTTTTCTCCTGCTTAATTTCCTGATAAAGTGAAAAATTACTGAGCTTTGAAACTGACTGTATAAACACAGCAGTCCTTTGTGTGAGCTTCCAGACAGTAACCCTGAGCAGGCAGAACCAAATGTGCTCTGTAGAAAGGCTTGGTCACTAAACACTCCTTTTATCAGCTGGAGCTGGCTCTGGCCCTGAAAATATTCAGTATATGTGTGTGAACTCATGAGCTCCTGTGATGAAGGTGCTCGAAAAGTATGAGGCTAATTAAGTGCAAAATACTTATTTCACTATTAAGGCTGCACATTTGAAGCCAGGAAATGCAAAAGTTCAGGTTCTGCTGGCACTGTTATTTATGTGCATTTAACTTGTGTAGTGGTTTATTGCCCTTTCTAAACAACAAGTAATTATTCTTAATATTCTCAGAGTTATTACCATCCAGCCTCCTGTGTATTGAGAGACATGGAAGGTCAAACTCCCTGCTCTGCACAAGGCAGCTGGGAGGGCTGGGATCGTGGTGCTGAGGGGGATGAAGGGAGAGTGGGATTTGGGAGAATGCTGAGGAAGGTGAGCATGGGTCAGGTTTATGCCCTGACCAGTATTCCAGCCCCTGACAAAGCTGAGGTTCTATTGGCACAATCCCTTACTGGGTCGCATTTAGCAGTTCCTGTCCTGGATTACAGCTGTGTGGATCACAGCACCGAGACCAAAGGGATCCACAGCCAACTCAGTGCTTTGGTAGCTGGAACCACAACTTTTGCATTTCTCAGCAGGCCTGAACACTGCACTAACACACCTCTTGTACTGAACCCACAACGAACACTGAATTTGCCTAATCCAGTAACTTCATCCCATACAAATAAAACAATACTAAGGATTTTTCCAGCTATATATTTTATGTGTATTAAATGGCTGTTGGTTCATGTACGTCATTATCTTAGAGCACCCAAGCTGTGTGACAGGAAATGACGTGCACACTTGTGTGCATTTGTTTAGAGCCTTCATCCTGCAAACTCTCATGCACATAGGTGCATCTATTCATTCCTTTTTGCAGGAATCAAGTCTATGTATCAAAACCTCTACACTGGGAAAAAATGTGGAGACTTATTTTCTTATCTTGTGAACTTCCCTGCTGACAACCTTAAAAAAATTATATTTCTGCTTTGTGGTAAAAGATACAGATTTAATGCCAAAGATACCACTTTACTTATGCCAAGAAACTAACCTGGATCGTCTGGCTTCGTTACCTGAGAGCTGGGGAAGGGGGAACCCACATCTAAATGATACCTGCACCTTGTAGAGTCAACAGCATTTAGAGCTTATCTGAAGCTTCTGTAGCCAAACTGCTTGAGATTGCAATGACTTCATCCCTAACAACATTCTGACATGCACTCCCATCAGGCCGCTCTGCCTTGATTTTCTGCAGATGCAAACAGAGTTTTTTGCTCGGTGTTTTGTTGTGCTGTGTATTGGGGTGGGTGTTTGAAGTGCTTTCAGGATGGTAAACACTGTTCTTTCTTTTCCCTCCCTCCCTCCCTCACTGCTTCCATCCCGGAAGGTTTAGTTTCTTCTCTCGTGATAAAAAACGTATGCAGGCATCACAGAAAAATGTCCACTTCCAGGAAACTTTTGGACAATGGTCACATTCAAACAGAGATGACTCTTACATGGAACAAGGACAAGAAGCCCTGCAACACCTGTGACTAAACCCCTGAGGTGTTTGGTTTGCTGCAGTAGATCTCGACAGTCTCGTAACAAGAAGCTTCTGTAAACCATCGCGGCAGCTCGTCACTTTTACTTGCCTTGCACACCTTGGGGGTTATTTCAGACTCTCCAAAAGGGATCCCTCACTGTTCACTTGGTGACTGTTTGCTGCAAACAGGAACCCAGGCTTTGTAGTAACAGTTGCTGACACCCTGGGACATGGAAGCTTCTAGATGACTTGTTTTGTGCTGAATAACAAGTCTATGATCTTGTTCATGCATTAACTACAGTAACACAAGCTTCTTTAAACCAAAAAAGGACCTCTGCCATTATTAGAAGTTTGTTTGCAGTGTATATCTAGTAAAGGGCAAAGACTCTTCTACGCTGTTTGTTAACACTACTGGTTGTTTGCTTTTTATTTCTGTAAGAATTATTTCAAGAGGGATATGACAGCTGGACACCCTTGGAGGCAGCCCACAGCTCTGCTGTGTCCTGTCAGTGCTGCTGGCATCGGCATCTTGCAGAGTCACCCCTTGGAAACCCACCTGGCACAGTGATAACTGGAGTAGCCTTGAGAGGGACAGTGAGTGTACATTTCCCTTGTGCTTATAGTGCCTAAAGCATGAAGAGCCAATGTACGAGGTGAGCGTGCCTTGTGTTCTGCAGTATTAATGGAAAACAAATTGCCTACAGGGAGGAATCCTAACTCTTGAATTTTTCCCTTCTTACCAGAGACTTCCTCACAGTGTAGCAGGCAGCTGCTGTAAAAGAATTAGATCTTTCCCACAGACAGGTTTTTAATTAAGTCACACTTCAGTTTCCTGTCTAGGTAAGACTGCCCAGCTTCAGAGGGAAACACATCCTCAACTGGCTGACATGAACTATTTCACTGACCTAGACATGACCCCAACCTTTTCTCTTGACTAAACACTACGTGGGCAGAGCAGATGAATTCTGTGTGCGAAGCTGCTCCTCTGGTGGTGGCAGATGTCTGGGTAGCCCCTGTTACAGGGCTGAACTTGCCAGTAACAGCCCAGCAGCCAACCCCAAGGGCTGGGGCTGGATCTGCTTTGCAGCTGAGCTGGTGAGACCCGGGCCTGACCGAGATTGTCCTTCCAAAACTAAAACCTCACAGCAACAGTGCTGTGGACACCCAGTGCCAGTGCACTCCCCAGCTCTGCTCCACACACTCCACGAGGAGCCTGACCAGGAGGGAGAGGGAGCATGAATCCATGGCTCTGTGTGAGGACAGGGCTGAGGTGTCTCCGTGGCCTTGGCCCTGGCTGGGAAGGTCCATGCTGGAAACCACTGCTCGTGGGGAAGATCTTGTGCCAGCAGGGCCATGGGCAGCTTCTGCATGAGAAACTCAGTTCCAGGGGCTGGGAGCTGCTGTTGGCACCACACCCCCTGCTGCTCCACCTACTCTCTAGAGCCTCTTCTCAGGAGGGGCACCAAGGACAGGAAATACAGCTCAGGCCAGAGCAAAGCTCCAACTCTCCAGGTACTGAGTGTAGGAGGAACTCTCAAAGGCCTCCAGAGGGCTTCGTGCAGACCAGTTGTTTTTATTACAGGGTGATCCAAGAGTGGATTTTTAATGTGTGTGAGCAGCATCTGTAGTAAAACCCTGTCAGTAAAACCTCTCCTTGCAGTGGTGGGCTGTGTGCTGTCCTGCTTCTGGCTGTAATTGCTTCATTCCAACGTGGACCTTCTGTGTGTTCTAGGTAGGGAAAGTGTTTACTGTGCCCCCCTGGTGCCACTGCAGCTCAGGGCAGGGGGGACACGTGGTCTTATATGGGACATGGTGATCAGAGTCTAATGTGGGTATGGGCTAGATGTGTTTTTGCCTGGTTATGTTTTGGTAACATCCTTAAAACAGCAGCACTTCTCCCCTCCTCTGAAAAGCAACTCTTAAATGGGGGGAGTGTCTTCATTTAATAATACTTAAATTGCCAGGATCTGTCTTCACTTCCATATAAGAAAACAAAAAGTGCAGTACAGTCATACCAGGCAGTTAAATTGTGGATGACCCCATGGAGTCTGTCCCGAGTGCAGTTCAGTCGTGTGGCTCATTCAGAAGGGATACAGTGAGCAGAAAGAACGCAGGAACGTGGGCCTGAGTAAGCAGATCCCTTTGGAAATCAGCTGAGAGCAATGAGCTGGGATAATGGAGCTTCACAGACCCAAGCTAAGCTGGTGCAGCACAAAGGAAATCTCCAGGCCTGGTGCACGTCCAGCAGAGCCCGGGGCTCTGTCGGGCCAGCTCTGCAGCCAACACCAAACTGCAGGAGGCAGGACAGCCTTCCCACATCTCTGCAGCATTACCTCAACCCCTCACAGCTCCTCCTGACCCGCTGGCATTAACCACTCGTTCTCATGTTTGCAATGTTGCATCCACACACCCCAAGTGCCATCGGGAAGGATGGCGCAGAGGGAAGCGGTTGTAAAGATCTGAAGATCTGTCATGTATTGTTTGTCAATATTCAAGGAAAACCTGCTTTTAGAAAAGGGGCCAGGATGCTGGCAGGTTAGGGGTGTAACAATCCTGCCTGCCAAGTGCAGGATCACTGACATTTTTTGGGTTGGTTAATTTTTTTTTTTGGTTGGGCAGTAAATCATTTTAACAGTTTAATAAATATTTCTGTAAAACACATATTTCTGCAAGACTTGTGTCTTTTTTTTTTTTTTTTTTTGTGGAAAGTAATACCATCCATTCTTGGGGATGCAGCTTATGGATCTGTCTGTGTACAACTTAATGGAAATACAGCCTCAAACCAGACAAGGTTTAGGACAGAGCCATTCCAAGATTGATGAAATACATTTTAAAATACATTACATATTTAGGAATGGCTTATGATGATAAAGAACGTGACAGAGCCTTTTCTAGAAAGTACTGTAAGCTCCTTAATGGAAGAGGTGTGTCTGTATTTACACATCCTAGCCCTGAAACAGATGGTTTGCCCTTTTTCCCCAATTCAGCTAAAACCAGCAGCAAACCCAGTTTCCAGAATGGATTTAAACCCTGTGTAGAAGGGTGAGGACAGAATGAGTGCAGCTGCAACCACATTTACCCATGACACCCTCCTTCAGTGACTGCCCATGGATTCATCAGGATCATGAGGCATTTTCTGATGTGCTTACTGTCCTGTGGTGCACATTCCTCTGTACAAAGGAGTTTCATTCTCCCATGTCATAGACAGTGGATTGGTTCCATGTTTCTCTCTCACCTGGCAGAACTAGTTAAGGACACAGTATCAATAAAGGTCTTGCCTGTCCCAATTTCTTCACAAAAATGAAACCACTTCCCATCAGCTTCTGTTTTGGGGCACAGAAGTTTCAGAAGTTTGTTGGTATTCCAATCCTGTGTCTCCAGCATGGGACTGTTTTGTAACAGACCTGTGGACATCTGGCACACGGATAACTCCTCACCCAGGCAGCCAGACAAGGTGTGTGCGCATCTCAGTGGGATGCCTGTACACATGGTGCATTTCTTACAGCAACTACCAGTTCAAAACCATTCATACAAAAGTTTATTTTCTCTAAAGAACAATTTGACACATATCTGAACTGCAGTAGGAACCAAACCATAGAGAGCTGCTGGCAGCAGAGTCACAGGCACAAGGTGGCAACACCACAGATTGTTCTGGGAATGCTGTCACAGCCCTGAGCTGCCATAAGGGTAGGTCACGTACCGCAAGGACAAGGCATGGTCACCTATCGGTGCTTATCATCATCCCTTTGCTTCTTGGTATCTCTGTCCCTGCTCCGGTCTCTATCCCTGTCCTTCCTGTCTCTGTCCTTCCTTTCCCTCCCCCTGCTCCTCTCCTCTTTGGAGTCTCTCTCACTGTCACCCCAAGCCCACGACCTCTCCCTTTCGGGCCAGCGTTTGTCCCTACTCCTCTCGTGGTCCCGGTCCCTTGTTCTCCAGTCCCTCGTTCCCTCACGAGACCAGTTTCTTTTCTCTGATGATCCTTCTCCATAGAAATCATTCTTCATGTTTGGCAAATTGATGGGCTTTCGGAAAGGTCTGTCCCGTCCTCCGAACCGCAGCTGCCCGGATTCCTTTTTGCCTCCAAACCCACCCCCAAGCCTCCGGGGAATCCATCCTTTGAGAGTTCTTTCCAGTTCAAAGTCTACAAAGATCTCGTGTTGGTCGATGACCAGCCTGTTGGCATCTCTGTGCGCCTTCAGCAGCGCGCGCTCCTCTTTGTACTCAATAAATGCATAACCCTTGGAAAATCCTGTGACCAGGTCTCGAACCAGACGGATCTTTCTGATGTCTCCATAGCGGGAAAAAACCTCCTTTAACTTCTCTTCTGTGGTCTGAAGATTGAGTCTCGCCACGAAGAGGGTGAGGTGAGGATCTCCCGTGACGCCCTTGTTGGGTACGTACCGTGCCAGCATCGCCCGCCATATGGCCCGGTCGTGGGGCTCCTCGTCCGTGCCATCGATGCTGCCAGCCTTGAGCGGGTCGTACTCCTTCGCTATGGGGGCCCAGTCAGCCATTGTCTAGCGGGGGAGAACACACATGGCACAGGCTCACGGCTGTGTCAGAACAGCCTGTGCAAGAAGCGCTTCCAGCACTGTGTTCATCCGAAAATCCCCCAAAGTGTGACACATTGAAATAAACCAGCCGTGTCGCTGTTGTTTGAGTCCACATGCCGGGACAGAGCCGTGTCGGGGAGCCTCGTCCTCCCCTGGCCTAGGCCGCCTGAGGGGCCCCGGCCTTCCCCCGCGGCCGGCCCGGCCCCTCAGCCCCTCACCGCCCGGCCCGGCGGGACGCGGCTCTCCCGGCGGGCAGGGGCCGATCCGCCGGCCCGGAGGAGCCGCAGCCGCTCCCGCCGGGCTCCATTTCAGCCCCTTTCCCCACTCCCGGAGCCCGCCAGTTCCCCCGCCCCGCTCCCAGAGCCGCCGAGGCGGACGTGGCGCTGCGGAAAGGCCGATGCGTTCACCCGCCCCGGTGCCGGTTCCCGGGGCTGCCGGTGAGCCCCCCCGTCGCTTACCGGCAGCGGAACGCGGGCGGTGCTTCCTCAGGGGAAGGGGCAGGGCGGGAAGCGGAGCGGGGCCGCGGCCGCCGCCATGGGAGCGCCGGGGGCGGGAGGGGCCGCTCCGCCCGCGGCAGCGCCGCCCGGCCCGGCGGGAGGGAGCGCCGGGGTGCGGCGGGCATGGAGCGGGGCCGGGACGGGGAGGAGGAGCTGGAGGAGGAGGATGAGGATGAGGAGGAGGATGGCGGCCCAGAGAGCGCCCTGGAGAAGAGCCCGTTCCAGCTGACGGCCGCAGATGTCTACGACATCTCCTCCGTGGTGGGCCGGGACCTGCTGCAGCTCCACGCCGGGCCGCAGCTGCCCGCCGCCCGCGCCCGGCTGCAGTTCAGGATCGTCAGGGTGCTGGAGATGCTGGAGGCGCTGGTGAGCGAGAGCAGCGTGGCCGAGGAGCAGCTGCGGCGGGAGCGGGACAGCCTCCGGCGGGAGCTGGAGCAGCTGCGGGCGGCGGCCCGCGGGAGCGCCCCGCAGGTGGGTGCGGGACCGGGCCGGGGCACAGGGGACTCGGCCGGGGCACAGGGGACACGGGCCCACCATGCGCGGGTCGCACAGCGCGCCCAGAACCACACCAGATGGGCTGGCCGATAGTTGTGGTCTCTTCTGTGTCAGCAGGAGGAGTGTCACAAAGTCACTTCCCGTCTTTGGCCATGAAAGGCTTGAAGCTCTTTCCTTCGGGGTGGTTGCAGTGCTGTGGATTCCTCGCTCGTTTCACTGCAGTGACTGACCCAGCAAAGTTGGGTCGGTCATGCACAAAGACACGCACAAAGTTCAGAGAGTACAAACGCACCGTGTTCAGCTCTTGCACAGCACCGGCCCCATAGAGACAACTGTATACAAGCACTGAGGCTTTGTTACCCCCTGTGAGGGAAATGGATGTCTTGATAACTACAGAGGTTTTAAATCAAAAAAGGCGAGTTCAGTTCTCACCTTTCGTTGACACTGACTTTTGGTGTGGCATTAGATGGCTCAGCCTCACTCATCATCTAACAACAATCTGATAAAAGCATCTTCCTGACAACTAAATTGCAAACTCTTGGGACAGAGACTTTTAACGGTCAGAGCCTGTCACAGTTGTGGCCTATACTTCACTGGTCACTAAGAGAATACAAAAATATAAAGAACTATAATTAACTGCTTGGAAAAAAAAATCAGGATTGTGATGAATTCATATTAGTTCTAAAAATTCCATATTTAGAAAATCCAGATATTTTACTCTCTGAAGGCTGAGTTTTTTGAGAGGTTACAAGATCTATCACTGTTTATTTTACAGCCCAGCCTTGGACCAGATCAAATGGTGATAGACCTCACAGACCCCAACCGGCCCCGGTTCACGTTACAGGAGCTCCGAGATGTATTGCAAGAGAGGAACCAGCTGAAAGCTCAGCTTCTGGTGGTGCAAGAGGAGCTACAGTGCTATAAGAGGTAAAGCTTGAAGCCAGCAGAGAACTAATACCACTAATAACAAGTGGTATCATGAAGCTTATCAGGTGAGAGTCTTGCAGGTTTGGGCCCCTAGGTCAGGATAGTTACTGCCCAGATATGTAAGTGACCTCTGTGCTCCCCAGAGCATAAAAGTGAGCAAAGAAAAATGGGGGAAACAATGAAGTCTCAAGGCAACAGGATTAAAAAACCAAACTCCCTTTTCTTCTGCACAGTTCTCAGCACATTCCCATGACTGTCCCACTCTCAGCCTACGCAGAGTTACTCCCACTCCACATCCAGGCTGGGTTCTCCTGCACAGGAATTAATCTGTGCAGTCACAGCAACTGCACACACACTGTGTCTAAAGCCACACTACATACCAAAGAGCACAGGGGGTTTCCAGCTCAGATTTAGTCAAACTTTCCTTCCTCCTGCAGCACCACGCTGGGTGATCTCTGGTCCTTTGCTCCCACGGGGATGTGGCACTGATCTAGAAACAGAATATTGAGCTCTTTCATTATTCATGATAAGCTGTGGGGTTTTTAAGACTGCCAACAGAGGGTTGTGTAAGGCCCTTGAACTGTGTAAAGCAAGTGATTTCACAGAAGGGTTTGGTCGTTCTTGAAGGGAGAGTCAGTGTGAGTCAAAGGGTGGGATGTGGGAATGGTCTTGATCTTGGTGCTACAAATTCATTCACCCCAAAGGCTCTCCTTCTCAACCTCTGCCCTCTCTCATCAGGCTGGATTATAAACTCTTTGGGTCAATACATTTCTTCTTGATCTAGACACAAAATGTCTGAGCACATTAGATTTCAGTCGGGATATCTCAGCAGCACCCTCCTGGATACAGCGGGCCCGCCCTTTGGCTTGTCTGTAACAGGCAGGTTAAGCCAAGAAGTTACACTTAAATCCAAGAATTTACAAACTGCCTAACAGCACTTTCCCAGCTCAGCTGGCTGCTTTGCTGTGCAGCAGTGGAATGGCTTCTTGCTTTGATTTCCCAGCTGTTACACAGTTTAGTATAGGCCAAGTTAAACATGTAACAGTGGGAATGTTTTCAGGTTTTTAGTGATCTAGTCAAAGTGCTGTGCGCCAAGAGCAGGGCAGGGCTGCTTTTCAGGTCGAGTAATTTGTGAGATTATCTCCTCATACAGTGTTACAGCTTAGGCCAAAACCCATTTTCCCTCTAAATAGTCACATAAAATCCTAACTGTAATTGTGTAAAGAGTAATTGTGCAGGAGAAGAGGATAAATAGATGTTCTAAAATGCCTTGCATACATTGGAAATAGGCTCTGCATAACACAAGGTAACAAAGAGCTCAGAGACTGGCTCAAAGTGACTGGTGCTCTGCAGTGTCACCCAACAGCTCACTGTCTCATTCATCCAAGAGGAGAGTGCCTCAGAATTACCCTGTGCCTGGTGTCACACCAGTTTTTAAGTGCTCTGTGTTTTTATTTCCAAATCCAGTTGAGTGTTGCTTGGCTGCTCTTTGCCTGCAGCTACAGCAGTCACAAGCTTTGATCCACTGAGCTCTCAGTGACTGAGGTCAGCTCAGGACATGCTGTGAAAACACTGAGTGAGCAGGCTGGGAAAATCTCACCCTGTTCCAGGCAGGGAAAACACCCTTTGGTCAAACCGAAACTGTTGCCTTGAGTAGGCGGTTACAGCTTCTGGATTGTAGAAACACTGAAGTGGGATGGCAAAATCTAGAGCTGAGGCAAAGCCTTTCTTCTCTCCTCTGTAGGGTGGAAAGAGGAACAGGCACTTGCCTTGCAGGAGAGCTGGGAACTTCCCATCTGTTCCCAGGCCTGGTGTGAGCCTGGGTGGCTGCGCTGGAGGTACCACACATCTACCCCTGCAGAAATTCACCATTTGTGTCTTCACCCTCTTCTTACCCTTGGATTTTGTACAAATCCAAGTGTGATTACACTTCCCTTTCACGAACCCCATTATGACTTGCCATTTTTTTCTCTGTAGAGAAGTCAGCTTGTTACTTTTTTAGTGTTCTCATTAAAGCATAACCCTGGCACCATTACACTGCTGTATTTAAAGATAATAATTCATTATTTTCAGTTCACTACAAGGAAGAGGCTGGGCTGTCATCCCTGTCCTGTGAATACTCATTCACCCACGTCCAGTGAGAGGTCGAACTCATGCACAGTCACACTGCACAAACCCACAAAAAATAAACAAAACCATTTCTTTTCCCAGTGGGATCATCTCACAGAAAAGGGACCAAACTGAAGAACTGGAAAAAGAAGCCAGTGGTAGCAGTGCTGGCAGCAGAAAGGACAGTGAAGAGAAGACAATCATCAAACGGTTGTAAGTTTGTCTGCAGCTTTTGGGGCAGAATTTGTAAGAACATGGCCCACTCCTTTCACAGTGAATCCAGGAGTGGATGCTGAACTTTAGCCTAATTGGCTGGATATTGTTTTCTGCTCTCCATGAAAAGTTAAAAGCTTGATAAAGCAATCTCTTCCTGGGGAAAAAGCACTGCACAGGAAAGCAACCTCCACCCAGGCAAGCAGGGAGTCACTTTTTTCCTAGGAAAAACAAGCATTCCTGAACAAAATGATTCAATACTTGCCTCCCCTGCCAGCCCCTCAGGGCTGTGCTGTGGGAGCACCCCAGCTGGCCCCAGGCTTTATTTACCCTGTACACAAACCCCACGAGCTCAGGGTCTGTTCCTAAAGTCCCCCAAAATAGCACATTGGCAAGGCCAGCCCCCTGCCTGTTCCTTGTTTTCCACTTAAAGATTATTGTTCCCTTTCTGCTATTGATTTTTTTCTCTTTTTCTAGGTTTTCTTTTAAACATGGAAAATGAGCATCCTCAAGGACTTTGCTGCTGGTGAGAATGGCACTGATGAGCCTCAGAGGCATTAGGAAAGACAATGATTGGAAGCAGCAGCATCACTCCTACTGTAGAGAATGAGCAATCTCGTTAAAATCCTGTTGTATAATATTCTTTCAGAATAGATTTTACTCTGCTTTTTCAGAAACTGTTTGAAACAGACACTTTTTGTATTTCATAATGTCAGACATTACCCACATGTAGAAAATAAAACATTTATACAAAGTTGGGGTTTATTCTTATTAGAAGAGCCTGTGATGATCTGTACTACAGCATACTTATCCTGTCCAGCTATCAAAACATTCAGTCCAAATGATTTTGTAAGATGAAGATAAGACAGACATGCCATTCAAAAGTGGTTGTTTGGAGGTGAGATGAACAGTGGAGAAAAGCACAGTGAAGGAAGAAAAGCTGCTGCAATTGGGCTCTGCCCACATGAAGGCCTGAGGTGCAGGCACTGCTCAGACTGGAACAGATGCAGCAAACATTTCATTTCTGACAGCTGATGGTCTCCTGTGGTAGGAGTTGTGTTTTGCATAAGCTCTGTTCTTTCAATCACCTGCCACAAGCTGTGTATTGGCCTCAGTAATGAGATTTAGCACCAGTGGAAGCATATAGGGCAAACAGAGGAGTGGGGAAAGAAGCTTGAAAGACACCAATTAGGTTCTCCATTTAGAAAGGTAGAATATCCAGAGCAGAAGTCTGAACAGACATAAAAGAAGCAGTGACAGGTATCAAACTGTGATCTTACTCTCTTCAGAAATAAAAGCAGGCTCTGAAGTCTTTTGATTCCCTCTCCTACACTGGCAGCAAGAAAAATATAGGGCACTTCACACATCTGCTCAGCTGCACAATGTAAATGTGGCTCAGCAGAAGGCAGAGCTGCAGCCTCCCTTCAGAGGTCAGGAACAACTGTCTGTTATAGCAAGGCCACACCTCAGGTGGCTGACCCAAGCCAGCTGGTTTAGCCAGGGCACAGAACCGATGAAGTCCTTTTGCCATCTTCAAAATATCAATAAGCCTTGGCCATGCCCTCGTTGTGTATTTTCTAGAGCATGGCAAAAGGGAAGGCAGTACTGCATGGCCTGAGCAGAGGCTTTGTGCACAGAAAAACAAAACAAAGAAACAATCAGCAACAGCCAGGATGCATCTCTGAGCTGGAGAGATGCTGATATGTAATCTGAATTCCATCCTCTTCCAAGGTTTATCCAGGGATATATTTTCCAATCTCCTTTAAAAAGCAGTTTAGCTCCCAACCCAAGGGTATCTTTCCCTGTGACACCTTGTTAGAAGATGAAGCTTTCCTGTGAGGCACAAGAGATAAACACCCAAATGACACATTCCAGTGAGAAGTACATTGAGATAGATCTCTAGATCACTGTATGTGTTCCTAGAAAAGTAAAGGATACATATGCAGTGCAACATGAGCTTTATTTCCATCCTCCAATGCAGTGCTACTCAATTACCAGTTAATCTTTCATAAAAGACATTTTCTTTTTATGTAAAACAGGGAGATCTTTCCCCTTTCTTGTTTACAAAAGCGATGCTGAAGTACAGAGGTTTTAAGCTATTCAACCTGATAGAGAACACGTAAATGTTTAAATAAAATTTTAAAAAATTATTCCAATTTTGACTTAAGGGAAGTGCTCTAGTTTAACAGGACACTGTACACATTGCTGAGGTCTCTATTACTGAGACCAGAGAAAAATCACTGCCAACTCAGACAAGCTGGCCAACGAGGCTTACCTGAAATTCAGTACATGTAAATTAACAGGTCTCCAGTTAATTCTTCAGAAATGGGAAAATACCTAGGCTTGCTCTGATGAGTTTGCCTTGTGTGAAGCAGTAAATAATATAAAGCATTTAACAGCCAATGATTTTCACAGCTTTCTTTCAAAATGCTCATAAAACTGCAATGGAGACAGGTAGTATAGCAGCCGTTTCATCAATAATAAATATATTCTTTATTTTACAGAGACATTGTCTTCAAGTTTTTAATTTAAAAAATACATCACTAAGCCACCTCTCTTGCTGCTGGAGCACACAACCAGGATGTTGTTGCTATCTGACCTATCACATAGGCAAGCATAAGATTGTCTAGAGGGCATTCAGCTGGAACAGCAGCAGCCTTCAAGACATGAGGAATAGAAGACATTAACAGAGCCACAGATCCCTTGCTGACATCTTCCAGCAGCAAGCGTGGCTGATGGCTCACAGCCATTTTCATCTACACACGTGCCAAGCCTGCCTTGGCAAAAATTCCAACTGGTAAGAATTCCTCTTTAACATAAAGGACCTGCATTGTATTGCCTGCCTATATCCCAGATTTGGCTCTCCAACAGAAACGTTCCGAACATCCACGAGATGCCAAGCGCTTGACTCCCATGTGAGACAGTGGGACCAGACGTGCTGGACAGACCTACAGGACCAGGCAATAAGGAATCTACTTTCTTCACTGCATGAACTCCATCACTACAGTTTGAAGCTGCATATGAAGATGACTCCTATTTTTGGAACCACTATGCTCTACTTCAAGCATTCACAGTAAATAAATAGCTTTTGATGTGGCTAATTAGCATAGGAAGGTAATATAAAAAATTTTTGGAGAGAGTTTTTACTTCTTTAAAATCCTCTGGGAGACACCTCCAATAATCAGCCATCGACTATAAAAAAGGTACCTTCTCAAAGTTTAGAAAATAAGTAAATGTCAAACATTAATTCTCACTGTGAAGTTCTATCTTCACATCTGTAATCAGTATCAACCCAGTCTATCAAAATTTATCCTCATTTGGCTGGGAGCAATTTCTCCAAAGGAAGCAGTCAATCTGACCATCCTTTTCCCTCAGTGCCAGTGCATTTTAAGTTCATTGCCAACAGAATGTATGACACAGGAGAAACTGGATTCCTACCACAAATTATTTGAGAATGACAGTAGCATCCATCTCAGAGAAGCCTGTTCAGCACTGGGCTGTGAAAAGCAGTCTGACAGGCAGTCAAGCCACTGGATGACCAAGTCAGAGTACAGCAGTACTTCTGTCATAAAGCCAAAGTTCAGCACCCCAACGTGGGGCGTGAGATTTCCTTGCAAAAGCAGAAGCACAACCCCAGTGATGAAGTTTCTGTGCAAGTCTTTCACTACTCAAGTGGCACTGGTCACTACGCAGAAGCATTCGAATTTTAAGGAGGGTTTTCCTCTTATGATAGAAAAGTTTTGGCAATCTAAGATCAAATATTCAAGCCTGCCTGGAAAACTGTAATAGGTATTTAAATACTGCAAAGCAAAAAGGCAGTTTTTAAGGAGCTCGGAAGACCATAAGCCATCCACTAAGAAAGCTGAGGGAAGTGAGGGCAGAAAAAAAAAAAATTCATTGACTCCTTGTAGAACACTCAGTCCAAAAATAAAAACCCCAAAACAAGGAAGATGAATTAGTGTTTCAGCCACGGGTGAGCTTCAATGGAAGCTTTGCTTCTGTCTCCATAGTCGTACAACAGTTCTTCACCTGCCTTAATGTCCCTGGAAGCTATGAGGATGAGATGAGGCACACCATCAATGTCGTGGAGCTTGGTCTGACAATTGCCACACTTGCTGTGATTAATGAGCCTTCCCAGACGATTTGTTTCTTTTGTAGCATCGACACTGAAAGAGCAATAACAGAACGTGTGGACAAAGCCCAAAGTGCAAATCACACAAAGAAGGAGGAATTCACACCAGTCTTGAAAAATTAAGGAGAAACATAATGTTATCATGTTACATTACAGAACAACCATGATTAAATAAGCAGCCCTAATATGGCAAGGCAGGGAAACTGAAACAGCTCTGTGAGATTTTTAAGTTAGTACAAAACCCAGAAAATGAAACATTTGGACTGTTTGAGCTGCCTGTTTTCAGGAAAAGCAGAATCCAGATGTGAAAAAAATTATAAAGCTTGGACTGGAGTGGGTGTCAGACTAGAGCAACAAGGACACCCAGTCAAAAGAAATGTCTCTCTTCCAGGGAGTCTGTCCATCCTTCCTTCCAAACCAACTCATCTCAACTCAGATAAAGGAGTCCATTTTACAAAGGAAAAATTTAGGCAGAAGACCACTGCAGAACTACAAGCCTCATCCAAGCAGAGCAACTCTCCACATAGCTTGTGCTATACTTCAAAGAGGGCTTTGAGTCACCTACCATTCCTCACAGCCCAGGCATATAGGAGGCTCTCAGACCATGGATCAGTGCTCCAAAAGATTTCATAATTCACATTTCCCATTAAAAACAAAAAATTGGCATGAAAACAAGAAAATAATTAGAAGCATTCAAAGCCTCTATCAATAGAAACTTGAGCTTACCAGTAGGTTTTGCTGAGGTACTGGAAATAGTACATGTAGCAGCCTGTGGATGGGTCTTGAGCATATACAGCCTCTCGTTTCTTGGCATCAGTGATCTCAATGAGATCCCCATGATATTCAACCACAAATTCTCCTCGATTAAAATGTTTAGTAGCAATTACTCCTCTCCCTTTGCCATCAATGTAATCAATCTGTTGAGTTGAAAAGAAAATACTCTCTCATTTCCCAGCTGCTTAACATCATTGCAGATATGCTGATTACTAGGAAATGATTTGTCATTAAAAAGCTGCTGCAAAAGGGAATTTGTGTGTACTGCAGACAAAGCTGTAGAAGCACAATGTCTGGCACAGTGGAATGCAGGATGAATTTGTGACACACTGAGTTACTGGGTAGCTGGACACAAAGTCTTCCAATGAAAGAAGCCCCCTCAGATTTATAACTGAGGCTGCAGCACATACATATCCTCCACTCAAAAGGACATTGCTCACTCAAAAGGAAGGACTGTGTTCCAGTTTTCCTGCATTTTCATCAGGGTCCTGAGACTGAGTTCTGCTACTCTTTGTTTAAATAGATTAACATCAAGATACTGTGTAATAAACAGTACATGACAACTTTGGTTGGCACTGCAGTTACCTTCATTCCTTCTTCTTTCCCACTTGTAATCAGCTCATCTATTTTCCTCCTTTCCTCAGTCTGCAGAATAAACAAGAACAAACAAAACCATAATATTGTTGATAGCTTTTGTAGCTACTTCTAGAGCTGGAAGGAAATTACCCACCAATGACACTCATTGTGCCAAACCATCTCATATTTCCAGCAAACTGAACAGCAGAAAAGAGATTTCTGCCCCCAAAATACATAAACAGCTAGATTCTGCTCTAAACTGGACCAGCATT